GCACTGAAATAAGTTAATGAAATAAGTGGTTTAAGTGTTTTTGTTTTGTATGTGCATTCATTCACTCCTGAGGATTTGCTGTTAACTGTGGGTGGGAAATTGTCTCCAGTGTTGACTGAAACACTATCTTTTAGAGATGAATATCTTATTTAGAGTGTAAAACAACAGAGCAACCAAACAAAAAAGGTAAAAAAACATAAACAGAATAAACAGAAGTGGAATACCAACTTCTGCATAACATGAGCTGTTCTAGCATATAGCATTATTTCCCATGAAAGCCTCTGTTCCTCCCCTTGACAGAAGGGAAATACTTTGTTCTGTGACGACAGAAAGAAAATATTCTTCTGGTATATCAAGTATGAAGTCTCATTTTACCTGCACAGGAATTAAGCACATGAGAAGAGATGCGGCAACTGCAGAAATTGATTACAAGGATCTTTTGAGGTTTGGTTTGAAGTTTATTTTGAAATTGAACTTGAAATTAAGTTCAAAACAGAGGATGGCTTGCATGTGGGCCAGTGCACTCAGATCGAAAGCTGTAAATCTGTGGACTGGAACACCAAGGAAAGTAAAGCCAGGCTGCATCAAGAGTTTGAGTTGCTCCACTTTGATTAAATGGAATTTTAGAAACGCTTCTCTTTCTTCACAGTGAGCAGTTGAGTTAGTAGCAGATATTAACGGGTTACTGCTTGAAGAAGTAGTGGAAAATTAAAATGACAAAGGATTCTTATGAGTTTTTGTCATGAAGGAGGCCCTGGAGGAGGGGAAGAGATGTCCAAGACTGACATGAGGACGTGGCAACAAAATGAATTTCAAGAATAAGCAGAGGTGAAATGATTGAGACTGGTGGCTCATTACAGCCAGATGGAAATCAGAACTCTGCTTTTCACAAGACCTCACTATGACACCTGTTATTACGAGAGCTTCTGCAAAGTATGGTTTTGAAGGAGAAAAAAGCTTCTCTTGGGACTGGCTCAGAGTCAGATTCCTGCCCCTCCTCTTCTTTTATGGGACCAGTTTCTCCATCCCTTGGTCTCATTTACTTACACGGCTTCTGAACGATTCTAGTGGTGTGGCCAGCAGTACAAGATGTCCCAGTGGGAGCCACGATGTAACTGCATGCAAATGCTAGCAAACGCTAGCAAACAAACTCTAAAGCCTTCTTTATTATTAGAGCACAAAAAAGTCAAAAATTTCCTTAAAAAAAAAAAAAAGAAACAGAAAACATTTCTATAAGAAGAGACTGGTGATGGTGAAGTACCATAAAATGCCCCACCCACTGAGGGGTTTTTGGTCAACAGGGGGAGTTTCAGACATTTCCAGAGCTCTTGTCTCACCAAAGTGTTTCCTGCTTCTGACCTCATGTGCCTCTGAGTCACAACTAGCTTCTGAGAGAGCTCACTGTGTCCCCTGGCAAGGGGCTGTTCCCTTTCTCATGTGAGACACTTTCTAAACTGTTTTGACTATGAGAATAATGACAGATTTTCCACACCTGATTTTATATTTTTTTTCTCTCATCAGAAACTTATTTAGCTGACTTACACTGTGTGATTTCACACCCTGAGGCAAGTTGGAATTAATTCTTAGACCTGCCTACTTCTAGCTACTTCAGAGTGTCAAGTCAACCGATAAAAAAACCCAACTCATTAAAGCCTCTAGTAAGTTATCTTGTTTGCAATGTACAGATTACTTACAGACTGAACAGGAAACAGGAGCAGGGCAGTGGAGAACAAGTTCGTATCGGGATCCACACTGGATAGTGATGCATGAAATGGCACTTCGGGGACAAAATGCAATTCTGCAGATCAACATGGCTCCTACTATCTCTGTGAGAAAGGCTCCATGTTAATTTGACTGAATCACAAACATACTGACCTGAGGGACACTGGTAACAGCAGCTCCGTGAAGTTTCATCATAGAACCAATTCTCAAGCGTATCACAGGAATGAGCTGAGGTTAACGATGTCTACAAATTGAAGCAGACAAAAGACACAATTAGAAAACAATTAGTTCTGTATTAGAGCAGATCCCAGTATCTGTCTCAAGAGATGGTAATTGCAGATGGGAAGGAAAAGCCTACAGCTTTTTGAAAGTTCAAGTATCTCCAAAGCAACTCAATTACTGTGGCCCATATTGCTTAAGCAAAGATTGCAACATTCACTGTATTTAGTAATAATTCAATAACTTTATATGAAAGTCATTTAAACATGGGAATGGAATACTGTAGCCCAACTGTGTATCAAGCATTTCAGCACTCATAACTCCTTGTTTCATACAACAAAAAGGGTAGTGGCATAGAATCATAGAATCATAGAATCGTTAGGGCTGGAAGGGACCTTCAAAGGTCATCTAGTCCAACCCCCCTGCAAGGAACAGGGATATCTCCAACTAGATCAGGTTGCTCAGGGCCTCATCCAACCGGCATTGCCCTACAAAAATGTTTTTCAGCCAATGCTCCAAACACCCTTTGAAACCTAGTTGTAGGATGACTGAGATCACTAAGAAAAGCTTGTCTATTATTCTGTGTCTCCTTTAGAAATCTTGTAGCTGTTAGCAAATAATAAAAACAAAAAGGCTAAAAATCAGTGTCCTGAAATGATCCCATGTTAATTCGAGATAAGGAAAATAATAATAAAAAAAGAATCCCTAACATCTGTAACAGATTTCCAGCTCTGTGTGCACTGGAATAAGAGGTAGTGTCATAGTCAGCATCATCTAAATCTAGCTAGACTGGCTGTAACCCACAAAGATAATTCTTGTTTGCAGCAAACAGGTCGTTATGTTCAGTTATTTACGCAGTCATAATGCTTGAATTTAACCACCTAAAGATGTGTTTATTATAAACCAATAAATTGTTTTACTTATAATTTAGGGACAAATCCTACACCAAGAACAAGAGGTTTCTGCCTGGAAAAGAATACTGCAAACACTCACACAATGAAGCCCTTATTCAGATAACTAATTCTACTTCTATTGTGAGTGAAGGTTTCAGGATCAACCTTTGGTTTGACTACATAACTGATACTTGTTTAGTTAAAAAACCCTCACACAATAGTTCTAATATTAGCTTAGAAAACGAGACTCAGCTATAAATTGTCTCAAGAAGCATATAATAAGGCTTCATTTTTGTAAGCAGGGCCATTACATGCTCTGGGAAATTACAGTGCTACAAGTTTTCTGACTAGAAAATCTGATTTTTGAATCTGGCATCTCCCTTAATAACCCCCTAAAAATGTTATCTGAATTTCATTTTCAGTATTTGCTAGAAGGTATAAACGACAATTTTTTTTTTAAAGACTCAATCAGCAGATTCCCCAGGGATTTTCCCACATGATTCTGGTAGAGCAGTGTAAATATTTCAGAAAACCTACATCTCACTTTCTGCAGATGAATTTCCCTTTGGCCTCTGAAATAATACCTACTGTCTCCTACTGCCTAAGTGCAGAATCTTACTACCTAATTAATTTCTCAGCCATATTCTCCTGTTTAATAAGCTGTTCTTTTTGTGGCAGGACCATAAAACACAGAAGTTATTTAACTTGCCCCAGGTTACATCAGAAAACAGGCACTTTCAGTCATGGAGGAAATTAACAAAAGGATAAGAAACAGAAACATATTGAAACCATTAAATTTCATCAAGCTCCAGTAACAGAACTGAGAAATCCTGCCTGACACATTTCTGCACTAACCTCTGGGCCACACAGCCTCCCTAAAAAGCATTTTTTTTTAGCTTCCTGTATAGAGGAAACAGCAGATGTCTGCTTGCTCAGCTCAAGTCAAGTTCACAAATGTGCACCCTGCATTTTTCTTTTCTGAAGAGGAAGCACCAGACCGTAGGAAAAGGAAGCGGAATCTTCTTGCATCTGCGTGGAGAAGCACCCTGGTTAGCCAGTCACTCTAGGACTAAATTGAATAAGAGGAAGTGACACGAGACCAGTCACTAAACTAAGGGTCATTCAGGAGTCACTTCAGAGATACCAAGTGAATTAGCTAGTTTTATAAAGAAAATTTAAGAAACAACAGCATCCTGGCTAAGTCATCCTGGATGAGTTTTCCTGTAAGAGCTATGGGAAGTGACCACAAAAACCTGATCTCTTCCTGGTTCTCCTGGGCAACCAACTGCGGCTGCAAAGGATGGCGAATTTTAAACCGTGGTGGGAACAAAACTCCTGAATGATTTATGCAGCACATAAGCTTACAGCTTATTTAATTGTCTCTTTTTGGGGTTTAAATAAAGGAATAGTGTCTGTGTAAAAGTGTGAAGGAAGAGCTGCTTTTAAAAAAATTACCTTGTCTAAAATATTGAAATCAGGAGTTTAGGATTAGATTCTGCTCTTAGTTACAGCAATGCAAATTCTGATTATTAATTGGACCTGATGCTAGTGCTGTGATAAACTACTGCATGAACTATGCACACATACTACACAAATTATGAAAACAGACATACAAAAGACAGTACTCAACCCCCTTTTTTTTTTTCCTTTCCACAAGAGGGCAGCTATATATTACAGCCAGCTACACAACATGGGACATCCTCGGCTTCACAACAAATGCTGCTTTCAAATATCCAGTTACGAGCGCAGCTTTGGAGCCACCTTTACTGAGCCAAGCCCAAGGTGCTCTGCTGCAAAAAGAAGTCACTTTAACAAATCACGACGGGATTTCTATGGCTGAGAAACCACCTTCTGAAGACCCCACCACTTCTAATCTGTAGCTACCTGCAGAATGTCTGTAAGAGCTGCCATCTGTTCGGTAGAGGTGTTTCATGAGAATGAGACTTACTATAGATCCTTTCAGGGATAAATCATGTACATAGCAACGCTCAGCATCAGTCATTATCTCCCCATTCCTGTAATTTTTTTCCCCTCTAGATCCTAAAGCTCTTTGATTCCTGATGTGACCTGTAACAGCAATGCTACGATGCAAAGTTCTGCTCTTAAACTAAGCAGAAAGGTTGGCCCTCTGTAGACAGCATACTTTAAGGTAAGGACCTGAGCATAAACCAAGCCTCCATACCCCTAGCACTTCAGGCTTAAAAGCTCAAAATAAATTACATAAGTAAAACTGGCAGTGTGGAAAGGCAAGTGTCACTAAAAACCATATGAGCTCTGCTTCTTAAATTATGTAAGGCGTTTTGCAAGCTAAATTTCAAGCTTTCGTGCATCTGGAATAAAAAAATCTTTCACTAAAAACTCACCAAAACTTCCATGGGTTTTTGGCAGAGCAAACCAAACTGGTGCCTAAAAGCAAAGAACATGCCTTGAAGAAATGGCAGAGGTGAAGGGCCAAGGTCTCAAAGTGTCTTAAGTCTTCCATACAATGATGGTGCTAACTGATTTTCTGCAGAGGTTTGATTAGGCTACTTCTGGGAAAAGAGGGAAGTCAGCCCTACAAGGAGAATGTAATTTTCATTTTTCTGTCTTCTACGCGTAATGAATATCAGAGTAATAAGTTAACTAAAACCAAAGATAACCAGCCAAAGATATGAAGTGAAAAGGGAACAAGAATGTGCATTATTAGTGGGTAGCAACGGGCCTGAGCAGAGGTCATTTAGCCACACAGTGACTGAACATGTGAATGACCTCAGTTTCGCCACCTGTAACTGCTCTTCCCACATGTACAATACCACCTCCAACACCTCTTCTACAATTAGGGAAATTAGGGTGCAAGTTAGCAATAAAACATTGGCTTTTAGCTTTTATTTTTATAAGCTCAGTATTTCTAATTAGGAAGAGATCACTAGAAGCAATTCACCAAGAAACACAGGGAATTCTAGATTACAAATGTTCCAGTTCCACTCCTTTCAAGACTCAGTGCTTCTGGAAAGATGCCTTATGCATTTTCTTGATTTGACCATCATCTTAGATCTTTGTGTACCAGAAGACTCCAAGCGATAGGATTCAAGTGTTTGGGTTTTTTTGTTCCTCAGCTGCTGGCAACTCCTTTTTAACAGCAGAAATCTAGACACCAACCATCGAATCCATCCAAATTTGGAGGGACTGCAAAATACTTAATGCCTGTTTGTCTTGCTGTTCCTAGACAGAATGATGACTGAGTGCTGGAGTTATGGAATATTTTAATGCTGATTAACCAATATTGTTAAAAACCAAAAAATATTTCAGTGGCTTGGCCAAAAAAACCCATTAGATTTCCACAGAATTATAGAAGCAACATATGTGCATAACTTGTCAGAAATTAATGCTGTTGAAACAACATGTCTGTTTTCAATAGCACCTTCTGATTTCTGTGTAGTGGTAAGCCTACTACAAACTGCAGCTGGAACACAAACTGGATTTCTAATCCTCACCTGGTAAAAATCAAAATTACTTAGGTGAACTCCTATTGTCTGAGTAGCCCAGTACTGAGCTTGGACCTCCAGGCTCAACCCTATACAAACCGACAGCAACGTTCAGCGAGGCCAACACAAGGCTGAGGGCAGGAAAAGGCCCTGTAGCTGAATGTTCAAGATTGGTAGTTCCGTTCCTGGCTCAGCATGAGATGTGTTACTTCCAAGTCCTTGCTGTACTAAGCACAATGCCTGTCTACAGTTATGGGTATTTTTGTGGTGGTGGCACCAGGGATCCCAGACAGGCTTTGTAGGACATAAAGGATATACTGCCGCTCCAGTCCCACTGGGTCTCCAACTTTACAGTTGCTTGCTTTTACCAAACCTTGTCCAAACTGTTGCCCATGGTGTTGTAAACACTTCTTATCTTGCCAACACTCACAGTTCGTTTGCTGAGGGAAAGACAACAACTATCAGGGTAGGTCCGGCTGCTACAGCAGAACTTAAAAGTCTACGTTCTCGCTAGCTTTTCTACTGAAACATAAAAGCATCTTTTCATTCAAAAACTTTGGGAAGCAGTTTGCTCAGGAGGACATCACATGCTGTTTGTAATCAAAACAGATGGGGGAAAGCTAATTGTCTTCTAACATCGTGGCTACGAAGGAATCTGGCGACAGCACAGAATGATCCTGTTTAGATGAGGGAAATTTTGAGAAAAATTCCCACCAACAGTAGCAGCACTTATCTCCCCAGCACAGACACATACTGTTTTGAGCTACATAGTCCAGTTTTGAGCTGCATTACCAACGGCTGCAACTGCAGGAACCTGTTACATAGTGGGTTTCCGGTATTGTGACTGAGATGATGGTAGCCAACAGTGGAAGCTGATAAAGAAAATGTCCCCATTGTCAAGCCTTAACGAGAACAAGGATCACCTAAAAGAAAGGAGGGGATCACAAGGACAGAGAGGAGAAGAGGGAAAAATTCATGTAAAAAGTGGTACACTTTATCATATGAGGGCTCAAGAAGAACACAGCAGGAAAGAAAAGCATATGTGCTCTTACTGCTCTCATTGCCAAGAAAAATGTCAGCATTGAGACATTTCTAATATATTTCTGGTTGGGAGTGCTTGGACAAAACTGAGCATTATAAAATATTCAATAAAATACATAAAGTTTAACTACAAAAGAGCGAAAGTCTTCTACCTTGGACCATTACTCCATTTGTTTGTATAAACTTAAGTCAAATAATCCTTTTTTAATATGTTCTAGGATGACAGCGGAAATTTAACCATACCTCAGAAAAAAGAAGAAAAGAACTTAATTAGTTTGACTCAGGATTATATGAATATCACTAATGAAACTCATTTTTCCCCAACAAAACCAGTTTATTTAAATTAAGACTCTTTGCTAGGCAGAAGCTGAAGGTTAAGGTTTGACTTAGCAGGTCCTAGTTGCTCATAAATAGCTCTTGAAATGAAAGGAAGGGATAAAGCAAAGGAGACAGAAAAAACTTTCAGCCTCACATGAAAAAACCTCAGTGCTATCACCTTCTCACAAAAAAGCATCAGCTGTGAGCGTCAGGGTGGAAGGTTCACCTTCTTGGTTCCATGGTGCCTGTGTGTAGAGACCCACAAAAAAAGCAAGTGCTAAGAAATTCTCCTCTTACAGTGTTGGCCCTTTCTCCTGGCTCCAGTGTGCTTACAGAAATTGTCAATTAGCCAGTGAGAGAAGATTCACGTCATCATTTTTGCCCCTTACTACTTATTTTGAAGGGAAGGATTTGTGTGCAAGAACTTTCACTTCTGCCCCGTTCCCTCCTCTTCTTCCTGGAATGCCTAGAAACACTGAAGAGTATGGTGTGATCCATACTCAGCAGCAACTGGCATGCGGCTTTGTTTCATCAAGGAAATCTCCAGCAAGTTTTACAGAGCAAACTCTTCTCACTTCTGCAAGGAACAGAATAAAATGCAAGGAACCTCAAAATCGTGTTTAACCAACATTCAAAGCAGTTTTCTCCTTCAACTTTTGACTCTCCCTCATCCTTAACCGCTAAAAAAAAATCTGAATCTCAGACAGAAACAGAACTCAGGTTCTGTCAGGGAAATTCAAAATTCTAGCACAATTTCACTTTTTAAGGCACCATTTCCTAGTGTTTCCTGAAGAAAAGAGAAGCAGACGTTGTACATTTCCCTATCCCCTCTCCAAAAGACAATGCAGCCTCAATGAAGAAATACCAATTTTATCCTAATGACATATAGTATTGTCCATTAGTACTCACAGTTCTGTTCCTTCATATGTATTATAAAAAAACCTTTAAAATTCAAGGAAGCTCACAGCAGTATTGTTTGGTGCGGGTGAGGAATCCAGCTGTGGTGGCAACCAGGTCTTTATCCTTCCCTTTGGGTCTGAGGAAACTCTCAATGGATAGGTCTGTACTAACAATGGATTAACAAAGTGGGAATGTGTGTCTATTACAGCTTTGCTAATCCCATGGCTCTTTGCTATCCAAGGGTGCAATCCCACTTCCCCTCTCCTGCCTGTACCCACATTCTCCTTCCCCTCTAACTCCTTGATCGTTTAAGACAGAGCAATTGTGTTTCCAGAGGATGAGTCAGTGCTAGGAGTTCATTTGACTGAAAACTCTGCTTTCTGAATTTGTGAAGTTGGGTTTCAGGGCATTACTGCACTGAAACAACTCACCCTGTGGCTGCACAGTCACTTGCACTAAATTTAATGCAAGAAAGTTGGTGGCAACGTGTAGCCAGGAGCAGGGTCTGCCCTTTGTGTAACAGGTCTCTGTTGATGGGCACAGCTGTAACAGGAAACCTCACAGACACTATTTCTGCGTCTGTATCCTACATCAGAACTGATTTGACCTGGATTGGACAGGAGGACACAATGCAGAGTTAATGCTGCTTTATGCCAGCTGTAGAGGAATAGATAAATATTTAAACTAACAAGAAGGTAAGCGGGTGTCCTGAACAACCGCCAGTGCAGCAGAAAGTCTGTCACTACAAAGTTAATCAGTCCACGTTTTCTGAATAAATTTGAACAAGCCATGAGTCCATATTAGACCAATTATTTACATTTGGTTTTGCTCTAATACAAGGAGTTCTTAAATTGGATTCAGTGCAATTTGTTCAGAGACTTAATTTCACTCATCTTTTCCTGCATGCAATTCAAATGAAGCCGGAATACATCTTGTGAAAGAAAAGACCACAATTCGTATCCTGTTTAGACTGCTCTGTAACAGGATGGCCAGGGATCCCTTGGCTTAGTGCTTTCATCGGTGTATCAGGCCAATTTTTTTCTTTCTTTCTTTAAAGTGTTGCATCTGGCTTTTTTCAGTGCTTGCTTTGGAGAATTTGTTTTAGAAAAAAGGCTTTTTGTAGCTATCCTCACTTTCCTTGTATCTACAAACACATTTGCTATTCCAATTTAAATAATGGCAATTGTAAAGATAGTGCTGAATTCAGTGGGCTACTCTGCAATTCAGTCAGGACAAGGTTTGACTCATTTATTTATGGTCTTTTGAGCTCATAGAGAAAATTGATGGTGAGGCAGAGTCAGAAATCAGCTTGCTACAAATGAGCTGTAAGTCAGGAAGAAAGCATATTACGGTAAAAAAAAAAAAAAAAAATCCTCTACCAGCATTGGCTATTCTAGAACTGACTAATACTGTAGCAAAACAGTTGACTCCCTTTCAAGCTTCTATCCAAATTCTGACAGCACAAAAGAAGCTGATAATCTAAGACTTCAAGTAGTCAAGCTGCATCTGCTTGATAGTAAAGACATCATTAACAAATGAGAGTTAACTGAACATTAAAACAAACAAAACCTGAACTGTGGACTCAAGTGAGGCGGAATATGGTTTAAAATATGACTGATAAGCTATGACTCGCTCACATTGAGCAGTATCTCTAGTACTCCAGTAGAAGAAAAAGCAAATGTTGCTGAAATAGTGGCCACACAGACAGCAAAAAGTCAGTTGCTTATCCCAGCAAGATCTACATATTTATTCCAGGTAACTGATGATTTTTCAGTGAGTCTGAATGTTGACAAGGAATATCAGAAAACCAAATTTTCTCTCTGTCCCTTCCATTTTGTGAACAAAACACCAAAACTCATGTCAAATAGCAAAACCACTTTTTTTTCTATTGCCTTTCTCCTAAAGCAGTTTGCATTCAGCAGACTGGGCAAGCTTATCTGAATGTCCCCCTAAATATTCCTCAGGTGGGTAAGGACTACAGACTCCAGTCCTACAGAAGAAACAGTGATTCTTCTACATTTCAGGAAGCAGACAGATAACCAGGGCAAAATGGAGCAAACTTGCAATGTGGGAGGGGAATTTACAATTAAGACACAAGGCCAAACTCCTACTCTTACCAAAAGAGCCAGGAGGATCTTTTTCAAATATCTATGAGGAGGATGCAGGACTTGGTTATTTTCAAAGATCTAATCGGAGTCAGTTTCTTGTTAAAAATCTCCTGATAGCCCAAGTGATGTGCCATATCATTCACTTACAATGTACAGACAGGTGTCATGTTTCCACTGCAAGGAAAAATAAGCCAATTTCAGGATCCAACACAGTGTGCAATTATTCACCTACTTGACTTTACCTGTGCAAAGAACCTCTGCAACTGACATTTTTTTGTGAGGATGTGCATGTTAGCCAGGGAAATTACCTGGATTTATGCCAGGTGCTGAGGGCTTGTTGCCACGTGGTCCACTAGGGAGGAGGGGAGCAAACCCACAAGAGATGATACGATCTGAGCAGGGAGCTAGCTTGTGTCTGCAGCATCGGTTGAGTGCGACTAGTGGGCTATGTCTATTTTAAGTCAATTTGATACAGAAATAATAGCCCATTCATGAGGAAGACAGTGTCAGAGGGGTGGGTGGTTGTAGAGAGGAAGGTATTTTATTGTTTTTGCCTTTACAACTTTCAATTTGCCAGCCCTGACTCACATCAGCAGAGTGAGCAAAAGTCCTCTGAATCAAGCTTTGCAAGGAATATGCCTGTCACAGAGCACCTGGCCATCCAGGCAAAAATAAAAGCCACTCACCCAAACAAATGAGAACAGTCCCCCACCCCTGCCAAATCTTTCCTTATTCCCTAGCTGTGATGTGCCTGCAGTTGCAGTAACACTAGCCAACAAAAAGATGCAGATCATAGCTTATATCCCCTGCTCCTGCCTGCAAAGTTCCCAGAGAGTGCAAACTCTCCTGGCTGCTCTCCCTGTATTGCACAAAGCCTGCTTCTGTGGATGCCCACTGCCCAGCACCCAGCCTACTGGCAGGATAGCCCTGCTGCCCAGAGTGCCCCCAGACCTCTCCAGGCTCTTGCATCCTAAGGGGCTGCAGGAGCCTGGTGCCACTCTGCCTTACCTGCGGGGCTGTCTGGATATCCCGGAGAAGCAGCAGGAGCCACAGCCCTAGCGCCAGGTTGCAGGCAGCCATCTGCAGTGGTGTTAAATCTCCGTAGCTCCCAGCATCGCAGGTTGGACAGCCAGGTTGCTCCTCGTGGAGGCTGAGATCCTCCCAGGGTCCAGCCCAGTCTTGCTCCGTGTATGTTCATTCAGTCCAGAGCCATTCCAGCTGTTCAAGACAAGCAGAAGACAGTCTTTGAGACTCCAGCAAGCTGAGAAAACAATTTAGAAGGAAGGGGGAGGGGGGGCTGCCCAAAAAAGAAAAGTAAAAAGAGAACAAAACAAAACCGCGTCAATCACTGGTCCCGGAGCTGTCGAGTTTCTGAGTTGGTTGCACACATCAAGGTTGTCACCCAAGGCTTACGGCTGGCTGTGCAGAAACATAGGCTCCTGAGTCATCTAGGCAGCCCTCAGAGAGCACTTCATCACCCCAAAGCCTTGGCCAGGCATGAGTCCAAGCCCTGCCCCATCAATCTACCGCACTCTCAAGAGCTGCAACCAAGCCTCAAGAGAGTTCCCAGTAAGAAACACTCATTTTTACAGTAGAGTCATTTTACTCCTGTTTGGATGAGTGTGTGAAAACTCACAACCAACCAGGGTGACTCTGCGAAGGTTTAGGCTTTACACATCGCTGTTTAAACACCATCATACCACAGACCATCCTCTTGAGAATCCTTCTCTTTCCTCCAATCCCACTCGACATCAATTCCTATTGCTGACAATCATCCCTTGGACTGCTACTCGTCATTTCACTCAATTTCATTTGCTATTCTGGATAAAGTTTTTTGGCTCCAGCATCCAGAAAGGTTTCAGTTGGTTTAAGGTGTCATGAAGCTTTCTTATCTGCCCTAAAAGTTTTGTCAGAAGTAAAAGTTATCTACTTCAAAAAAAGGGCGGACAGCCTTGAAAACCCCTCTGAAGTGCTCAGGAAAATAATGAGAATTTGAGTTCTCACACCCATGGTTTTTTGCTTTTCACCCTTATCAGCAAAAAGAAAAACACAAGAAATGAGAAAAGATTGAAACTCTGATAACTGATTATTTCAAAGACCCACAGCTATGTCACTGCCACCACAACAGACTGCTAAAGATGAGAGCATTCCCCAGGGACCCTGGGATGATGTAGATATCTTCTTTAACTCACAGCTGTAACTCTTCTTTTTAACTAACTGCCTCTATTTCTTCCTCCAGAATACCATCTGATAAAACCCAGGCATTTTCAGAACATTTCATATTGTGTGTTTAACACACAAATCAACCTCCTTTCTTTACTCTGCCAGGTTACCTCTCAGTTTCTAAGCTCTTTCAGCTATAAAAGCTGATTGTGGTAGTTATGACAAGAGACAACTAAGTATTTGAATGTCCAAATACTACATTCTTGTTTTTTCTAATCAAATAACAGGCTAGAAATGTCTTAATCTTGTGCATGCCACTAGGCCATTCTCCCAATTTATGAGTGTGGTTTCAAATGATGTATTAGTCAGGGCAATTGGTGAACTCTGTCTTTTTTTTTTTCTCTCTCTTCCCTCCTCCCCCTCCTTTTTTTTTTCTGTTTTTTTTTTTTTGGGCCTGTTTTTTTTTTTTTTTTGCCTCTGATCAGCTCCTGTCTAAGCTTTTCTAGCAAAAGGACAGGAATTCAACAGAAGACACAGACTAGAAAGTTTTAGCCTCTGTAAATTGACTGCTGAGGTCAACGTATCTGATATAAAAATAAGTATCCAAGTACAAAAAAATGTGTGTGAAAGGCTTCTCCGGGACTGGTAACGGGAAGAGTTTTCTGGCCTGTTTTCCAGAAAAAATAAGACTGAAATGAGCATACTGAGCATTTTGTATATATACACGTCGGTTCATTTTTAATCAATGGTGTCAATAATCTGTTAACCTATTGGATAACTTCAATCAAGTTTGGCTGACGATGCAATGTCATTAAGTTTTACAAAGTCTCATGGAAGGAGAGGACTTGGATAAATAGGAAAGATTCTAGAAACACTCTCACTGAGGGAAAGGCTGCAGTGGGAGACCAGTGTTCCTCAGAAGGAAGAATCCATCTCACACGTCCAAAGTGAAACCAGGCTTCCCAGCTGCCATCCTTAGAACTTATTCTTAAATTTATTCTTGATTGAACTAGATATTTAAAAGGATGGGAACTGGAAAGCACTTATTGCTGCTGCTGGCTTTTCGGAAAGGCTATTACATTACACAATGCTATTACAAGTCTGTAATAAAACCAACAGCAATGAAAAAGGTGAAGAGGTTGTGTTTTAATAGGAAATGGCATGCATTTTTAACTGAATGCATTAATTTCAGACTTGGTATGTTTTGATTTCAAATACAATGGAAGGGGCTTTCCAAAAGAAGCCTTATCAGTAACTGGAAGAAGCATCCCCGTTTTATAACAAACCCACACTACTGTTCTCTAAATGTTGCCTATACTTCCCAGAAAATAATCCTCTGTTATTATGAAAAAAAAAAATAAAGCAGAACAAATAGAAGCAAACAACCAACGCCTGTTTCTCTGTTCTTCCATCAGAGGACAATGTCTATCAGAAAAAAAGAGGAAAGACCCTATGAGCATGCTGTTATTATTTATAATGTGTATTTGATCACATGCATCGGTCTCTAACATCTGAATCTCTTTTTCTTACAGGTGTTAAAGGTAGCAATGCCCAAGGACAAGGTTGCTTGGCATTTTCTATTTTAACTAACTTAGTTAATGCGAAGCTTAGCTAATGCTCAGGTGAATTTTATACCGGGTATCTGATCTATGCTGATCAAGGCCAGGTGGGATGAGGCTTTGGGCAACCTGGTGTAGTGGAGGGTGTCCCTGCCCATGGCAGGGGGGTTGGAACTAGATGATCTTTGAGGTCCCTTCCAACCCAAACCATTCTATGACTCTATGATCTATCTGCACGTGTTGCACGGAGCTGAGGTAGAGGGAACAGAGAAGTTCCGGTAAATCAGCAACTATTCAAATGTGGCTTGATACCTGGAGCAAAAGAATGCAGAGACCCAGCTAAGCCAGGAGGGAAAGTCTCTTTAACACATGCCCAAGATGTTCTGTCAGCATTGTCTATTCATTGTGCTGCTAACAGTGACAGCCTAGTAAAAAAGGTAGTAATAGAATAATGTAGAAGTAGCATTGTTACACACACGCTCAAGCAAAATTACTCATGACATTTTCTAATTTTGAAGTGACTGATTTTAGTCTCATACTGTACTTTTAGCATGGTTCCTTTTGTTTTTTAATATGTATGTTCAGTTAATATCTATCTAACTGTATCAGTGAAAATAAAACAGAGAGAAGTGTCATCTCTAAATATCTGTCAAAGATAAATGAGACCACTGAATTTAAAAGGATACATATTAAAATAATCTTGTCTAAAATCTGTATTTCAGTGTCTGTCAGTGTTGCTATTTATAGCATTGCAGTATACTGGTGAAAAAAATCACTATTCTTGCTACTTAGCTAGATGAAACACCACCAGATCCTAAAACTTCACTGTGAGTCTCCATAGCACCAAAGGCAGCGCTCGCTGGGATACATGCTACATACTACAGAGGGTACGAATAAAAGGTGGAATTCTTAACAAATTAAAAAAGAAAAATGAAAGCATTACTGTAATAAAAACCAAAGAATCTCATGGATAAAGGAAGGAAAGCAGGTAGTCACCAAGAATTACTTTCTTGATTTATTTAAGCATTTTGGCCACTGAGGAGCTCTCTTCCCAGAGATCTGTGAAGGTGACACTGTGGTACAACAAGCAGGGAGAGCATTCAGGATCCCAATGACTTTAGGCATTATAAGTGAAGTCAACATACTAAACTGCTCTGGAAATCTTTCAGTAGCCCAAAAAGGACAGACAGGAGGGAGGGCAACACTGGTGCAATGGGATCTCATTGAGAAATCCCAGTCAGTGAGCAGGCAATCGGAGTTTGAACTAGCTGTAGCTGACACAGTATTTGAACTTGTCTGAACACATAAAAAAGGAACAAAATCTCATTTATGCCAAGTACGCTACAGATTGGTAAAATTCTGTCCCTCTTTGCCACTCTGATACTGATAATTATTGTCTGGCACATACATTTCTCTTATTCTTAGAATTAAATATTCGTCAACACATTTAATTATGTCCCATCAGTCAAAGCACTCTGCAATATGTTAAATACACTGCAGGTGCTCTTGACAACATGATCTGCAGAGCTGCATTGATTTACCTTGGTATATTTGTCCACTGTGATCAACAAGGGAGATGGTTCGAAGCTCTTGTTGCATACTTGTTGAAACGTAGCAATGCCTTTTTAAGACAAGAGTTCCCAGCAGGAAAAACACTGGTTATAATGAGCTGGGGTCATAATAAAATCCCAACACATAGGGGAAATCCCAAGCCACTTCAGTAACTGTAGTTTCAGTAGATGGACATTCTCACAGGGTGTTTCTGTTCTCTAGTAAAAATAATAGAAAAAGAAATCAGCTTCTTTGCTTTAAATAAAGTTTCACACATATGCAAACCAGAAATCTAAAATAAAAGAACAGACTAACTCTTGTTTGTTTGCAACTCGGGACTTTTGTCTCAATCAGCTGTGCTGTTGCTGAGCAGTGAAAATTTCTTGGCTATTAATGAACAACCAACGGAAGGAGTTGCATCCTGGTCTGTTCCCAAGCAACAATAAGGTTACTTTTTTTTTTTTTTAATTACAGACTATAAAATCAAAAAGTAATTATGTGAAACAGACAATTCCTCACTGTGGGAAGCTCAGAAGTGCTGTCAACAATAACTGGTTTTGCTGACTCTGGGCCACAACATAGCTGCTGGAAGAGTTCTCTGGACAGCAGAGAATCTAGGTGTACTGAGAAAAAAGAATCTTCTCAGCTGGTATTAGTCTTACTGCAGGAATTCTTAAATTCCCACACACAAAGCCCACTGACTCCATTCCATTCATGTTCCCTAGTTTTCATTCCAATTACTTCCACCTGAGCTATCCTCAGTTTTATTAGCACAATATATGGCAGTGCCACACTCTGGCCTTCCAG